GTGGATCTAAGATGGCAGAATATGGCAATCAAAACAGACGGGCTGGTCTAATGCCAGGCAAAGGGGGGGGTGGGGGGGCTAATACCAATCTCCTTATTTTGTCCCTAATTGGATAAGCTCCTTGTTGCCCAGATCCATATTTCAGCAACTCTGCCCATGGCTTGAGTGTCAGCTGTGAGGCCGACTACTGCTGCTGTGGGCGATTTTTCAAAGCTTATCATTGTGCTTTGTTTGTAGTTTCCCTTTTCGCTCAGAGAGACGGGATCATAACAGAGGGAAGCCTGTCGAAGGACTTTTTTATGATAAAGCTACCGGACCGAAACCTGTTTCCCGTTTGGTTTTTGTTCTGCTCCCCCTGCAAAGTCACGTTCCCCTCAGTTAAATGACGAAAACCTGGTGTCGCTAACCCACGATTTTGCTCCCCCAGGTGACGATGACGGAGCGGGGAGCGGCCGAGCGAGCCTGCAAGGACCCCAACCCCATCATCGACGGCAGGAAGGCCAACGTCAACTTGGCCTATCTGGGTGCCAAACCTCGCAGCATGCAGACAGGTGAGCTGGGGCTTTGCAGGCCTTCGTGGAAATGGCCGTAAACAGGTGAAAAGTCACAAGTATGCAGCAAAACCTGACGCGTACGCAGGCACGCCGTCTCCCAGGCCCCTGCGATTCATCACCTCCCCGTGTGACATTTGATGGTGTCCCAGCCGTCTCTTTTAAACACAGTCGCCACATTTTTTTTGTTGCTCGGATGCCAGACAACATTGTTTCCCGGCTGCATACGTGCTTTTTTAAACCACCGCTCCACGTTTGAAATAGTTGTTCCACCAGTAGGCTGGAAACAGGCTGTGCCTCTGTCTCTCTGTGCCCTCTGTGCATTGTTCTCCGGCCCTCCTCTGTAAATGCAGATGTGTGTGTGTGTGTGTGTGTCTGACAGCTGGCCTCCTATCTTGCAGGCATATCCATCGGGGTGCAGCCCCTCCACCCAGCACTCATCCAGAGGCAGTACGGGTAAGTGAGCGGGAGTGGGCGCCTGTGATGTTCTCTTGTGTTTGGCCACCGGGCAAACGGGGCCTCTGGAAAGCACACGTCAGTTTTCTGCTACTCCACACAGAGTCTATTAGCATATTCCAGTTTCGCGGGGCTGGGAGATGGTTTCGCATAGCTGTGGTAATGGAAACGCGTTCCAGGGGTGAATGTGTGACTGGCGTGTTAACGTCTATCAGCCCCCCCCCCCCCCCCCCCCCCCCCCCCCCCCGGGAGGGGATGCACTAGCGTTGTAGAGACGGTCGGCTCACTGACTGGGAGCTATGGTCCGCTGGGCAGCTAATGAGCGTTTAACCGTTTGGACTCTTCCCCCCCCTCCACTGCAGCTCTCAGATATCACGCTCCAAGCTACAGCTTAGGGCTCTTCGTTTTGCACACTTTCCCATGAGTATGCAAAGGGGAAGGAAAACGACCAAAAGGCAAGTCTAGTTGGGTTAGTGAAGGGCTAGTGTGATCATGTTTCCACAGACACTGCCGTGTACAAACTCACAAGAACTTTTGGGGGGTTTTTTTGTTTTGCTTTTTGTCTTCCTCCGTTCTTTTTTTTCATACTTTTATATGCATTTCTGCCACAAAATTCAATATATTTCAATATGATTATTTTTATTTATTTATTTTTAAAATAAGGTTTTGGTTTGTCTCTTCCTCTGGTCGTCTGAAAAGAAGCCATGCTCGCTCTTAAATTGTGATTCAGAGCTTACCATATAGATGTTCTGGCTTTGATTTTTTTAAAGTTTTTTTCCCCCATTCCTTGCTTTAAATCTAACTGTTACTTGACCAAGTGTTTGACCACTATCTGGTGTTGGGTTTTCTCATGGTGGTTGGCAGCAGAAGAAGAAAACACTGGCGGGCTGCTGCAGATTGGAAGCGACAAACACTGACTTGGGGGCAGGAGAGCTCTGTGCTTATCCTTAGTGATGACAACAAACTGAAATGCACTGAGATTAAGGCTGTGAGGGCATGCACACTCGAGCAGACCAGGACTGCTCATCAGTCCGTGGGGGGGGAGTGGACATGCCCCATCATGTCCTGTCCCGGACCTGAGGGCAGCCCCTTTCCACGCCGGTCAGAAACCACTGACCCCGGAGGGTTCCGGCGTGCGGCATGTGCCTGACAGGTGCTGCCTCATGTCTCCGTGTCTTTTCCACGCCGGTAATCCCCCCCGTGACCCGCCGCCGCCCCCAAGGCGCGGCCAGGCGCCCCAAACACCTGTCCCCCCCGTCTCTGGGGCTCCTCTGTGTGAGGAGGCGGCGCTCGCTAAGTTGCAGAGCCGGCGAGCGGTCCTTCAGCCCCCAGCCCCACCCCCAAAACACTTGACGACATATGGTGCGAGAAGAGACGTGGGTAGAAGAAGGATTTTAATTGTACTGTGCAGCGGGGTCGCTCCTGGTTGGGCATTACGCAGGCTGGGGGTGTGTGTGTGTGTGACTGAGTGAGTGTGTGTGTGTGGCTGTGGTCAGCATAAACTGTAAGGGCCAGGGGGGAGGGGTCACCGAGGCCGTGTTTTCATGGAGAGGGAGGAGTTGTCAGTGTGCTTACAGATTCTTCTCATGTCATGGTGGTATCCCATCCAACCCCCCCTCTTTTTCTTTTTCTTTCTTTTCTAGATCTGATTTAGATTTAGTTGTAATTTCTCCCCTTCCAGTTTTGCCACTTTGTCAGATAGAATCTGAAATCTGACACCTCTTAAAGGAAGGTAGGGGGGGATTTTCTGTGTCTAATGCTTAATTAGGTGGAGTGCTACCTAGGAAACTCTACAGGTGTAAAACGCAACACCTTTGTCCTGTCTGCAGCTTTGAAGGGACCATACTGCTCTGTGGGGGGGGGGGGGGGGCCAAGGGCCTCTTACTCGTCCCTCCCCCCACCGCCTTGTCTGTTTTCACACTTTGTGTCTCGTTGCCTCGTGTGCGCTGAAGGTCAGCAGTGTTATGGCGTGCGGATATTTCGCCGGCCGGTGCGACGGCGCTCGGGCTTTTCACAGCGGCCCATCATGTGACCTTCGCTAACGACGACTTCTAGGGCTGGTATTTGCCGCACGCCTCTCTGGTGCCTCAGCACGCCATTCACAGTCGCTCTGTGTCAAACGCGTCGGCCGGCCGTCAGCACAAAACCAGCTGACCAAAGGTCTTCTGGCTGTCATCCACAGGCCTCATGCCAGCTGGCCCCCCGGGCCCCCCCCTCTCCCCCCCCCCCCCCCCTCCCCCCCCCCCCTTTTTTTTTTTTTTTTACAATAAAAAAAGCTGAACACGACTCTAACCCCGTCATGCCTCAGCATGATATTCCCCAGACCGCTCCTACCTCCAGATCTTTGCTGTAGTCTGGGGCTAAATAATTTCCCTCTGGGATTATTAAAGTATTTCTGATTCTGATTCCACGGCCGTGGAGAAGGCAGGCTCATTATACATGGAGCAAGCGAAGGCACACATGACCCACGGTGGTGATGTATGGTCCAGTTTAAAGGGCTGTGTAGGGGTGTGAATGCCTCTTTGTGAGTAGTTCAATAGTACTGTGAGGAGAGAGTGTACATTCTAGTCAGGATGGTGCTTTCGTTGGCTTGTTCTTGCTTATTAAAAGCCACCGTTGTCTTGCATTTGGGACCGTGACGCCAATTCCCATTTAGGTCATTCAGCATAGTCACTTTAAATCGCCGTCATAGGAATTTTTTTTTTTCTCTGTATACATGTGAGGACATGTCATATCTAGCTTGCTTTGTCATAACTATCTCCCTCCACTGACGTAACGATACAGATGGACCTTGGTGTTTTATTGCTGACATTAATCATTCCATCCTCCTGCCCACCCGTTTAACCCACCCTCGGCCTCTGTTGCCAGCTGACCATCACACCAGCAGAGGATCAGATGATGCCCGCTGTACAGGACTAAAGGGGTGTGACTGGGGGGAAAAAACCCCCCCCCCCCCCTCCAGTCCTCCTACCCTCAGCCAGCCTCTCTCTAAGGTGCCAGTGACGGCTTGAGATTGCAGTGCCGTGTGCTGTGATGAACTGGAGTGCCTTCTTATCTTTTTTTGTTTCCGTTTTTTTTTTTTTTGTGTGTGATATGAACAGAAGAGGTTATGCTGATTTGCAGTGTGACTCTTTCCCTTTTATGGCATGGTTTGGGGGTTTGCAGTGGTGTGTGTGTGTGTGTGTATCTGGGTTTGGGAAAGGGTGGGGGAAGTGATTTTGGACAGGGTGTGTGGGTGTGCGTGTGTGTATACATATATAGTTATATGTATGCTGAGTGTGACAACCCTGTCCGTGCATGCTTCAATCGTTTTGCTTTGACTTTTGATTTGCTTTATGGCTTCCTCTAATGGACTGGTTTTTGTTTTGGAGGAAAACTGACATTTTGAAACGGTCCATGAGAGGATAGGGTTTTATCTCGGGATGTGTGTGTGTGTGTGTGTGTGTGTATTTCATCGCCTAAGATTTAAAAAATCTCACCCAGAGTAAGAAATGTATTTAAAATGGGCCTCCTTTGTTCTCAAAGTACACCCCCACACACACACACACCCCCACACACACACACCCCTCATAGGCTCCATGTGAGCTGGCCCCTGAGGCCCGGTAGAGCCCTGATGAGCTCCCCTGCCACCACCCCCTACCCAGCACCGTCACCTGTGAGATTGTTCCCGTGCCAGACGTTGGACCCAAGTGAGAACTTGGGGGGGGATTGTAACTTCTGCACTCCCTTCATGCACTTCCCTTTTTTTTTTTTTCCCCGTCCTTCTGTGTGTGTTTGAGTGTGTTCAGTGGGTGAAGAGCAGCAGCTGTTAAAACACTGTTGATGCCTAAGCTTGAAAACCTGCCAGTAACGGCTGTCTCTATCATTCACCCCCCCCCCCCCCCCCCCCACCCCTAATGCAGGAGGCCCTACCTAACAGGTTTTGTAGGTTTTTCTAACTGACACAGACTGAAGGCTGAGTCACATTCCCCTAACCTTATCTGCCTTTTGTCTTCTTGGTCCTATAATATGTATACAGTATATAAATATATGTAATAATGAGGGAAACCCATGAGGGTCAGAACACCTACACACAGTTTATATTCCCTACACACACACCTTCTGGGAGCAATGTAAACAATAGAAGCCAGGCCCTGGGATTTCTGTGCTCTGGTTCTGTCGCCCTTATGTTTAACCCCTTCCCTCTTTGTGTGTTTATGTGTGTGTGTGTGCGCAGATTGACCCAGCCGTACATCTACCCGCAAGCATTCGTGCAGCCCAGCCTGGTGCTGCCCACTCAGGTGTCCAGCTCGGTCAGCAGCAGCCCCTACCTGGACTACAGCGCCGCCTACAGCCAGTACGCGCAGGCCGCCTTCGAGCAGCAGCAGCAGTACCCGTACGCCGCCTCCCCGGCCGGCTTCCTGAGCTACAGCTACGCCACCAGCCCCACGGCCGCCGCCGGGCCCGCCGCCGCCGCCCCCGCCCCCCCCCACCGTCCACCCCAACCTGCCCTCGGCCGCCGCCGCCGCCCCGGCCTTCCTGCACTACGCCCCGCAGCAGCACGTCCAGCCTGACCGCATGCAGTGAGCAGGGGAGAAGAGCGGGGGGGCAGGAGGGTAGGGGGGGGAGGGGGTGAGGAGGGGTAGTACATTTGGACTGATGATAGTCAAACACTCTAGAGGGCGAGCCTGCTGTTTTTTTTTAAAAAGCGGCTTTCAGGAAAAAAAAGGAGAGGGGTGGGACTATTGCACTATGTGATCAGGATGGGCTGTTTGCTCATTGCTAGAAAGGGTGGGAGGACTGATGGATTTCAGGTTAGGAAGCTAAACAGCATTCAGTATGTGGTCGCTTCCAAGGGCTTCCAGAAGCTGACACTTCTTTTTTTTCATTTTTTTTTTTTTCTTTTTACCATCATCGTCGTCATTATTTTTATCATCCATTATTATTGTATTAATGTCCTTGTCATCGTTTGTTCGTATGCCATTATTATCAATGTTTGCATGTTTTTGGCTCAATCAGTGCATGTCCATGGTACATAGTGGTGTGTGGGCCCGTCTGCCAAACCTCTCTTCCAAATTCATCTGACCCGCCCGGGTTGGACGTGACGGACGCCGCTGCGTTAGGACTCTGGGGATAGTCGTGTGGAATCGGGTGGGGATTGGAGAGACATGCAGCAGCCTTTCCCAGCATTTTCGCCTCTCCGCTCCGGGGCAGAACGCTGCCTCACGAACAAACTTCAAGCCTTTCCGGCCTACACACACACAAACACACAAAGACGAGGGATTCCTCCTCAAAGACTAAATTTGCAAGACTGTGAGAGTTCCAGGACAAGTTTTTTTTTTAATTATTATTTTTTTTATTGAGGCCTTAATTAAAAAAAAAAAAAGAACTTTAAACCTCGAGATGTTTTTTTTTTTTTTTAAGTGCCCCTCCACCACAGAGACGAGTGCAGAGAGCTCTTTGCAACCGGCCTGTTTTTCAGCAACTGCAGGGACCTGACTGACCAGGGATTTGATTAGGACAGGTGGATGTAGATAATCAAAAGCAGTATGTGGGGAGGTGTGGGAACCAGGAACTTTGTATATCAACGTCAATAAGGTAGCTGACACTGAGCTCAAACACCAGTGTTTTACTTTTTTTTTTTCACTGAGATTGTCATAAATTGTTGCTCTCAAAATGACATTCATGTACATTTACAATATTTATATGTAGGTATTTATAAAAGGTACTAAGTTATATAGTTAATAGCTTTTTTTTTTTTTTTTCCACTTTTCTTATAGTTATGGCACTGATGTCATTTGGCTTGCCGAGTCACGGCTGCAGATACAAAAGTGTTGTATTCTTTTTTTTTTTTTGTTTTTCATCCCGCTACCAGTAAGTATGGGAATTTGCAGTATGCTCAGTTGATGATCTTTTTGCTGGTTTCATTGGGAATTCTTTAGATTTTTAATTATTTTTTTTCTTTCATTAAGAATGTCTTTTACATCCCTTCCAAACAAGCCATACAAAAAAAAACTGAATAAATAAAAAACTTTGTATGTTAGAATGCCTCCTGATGTCTTTCTTCGGTGAACTGACCACAGAAATGTGGGGGGGGGGGGGGGTTCAGGTGGATGGTTTGGGTCTTTAGTGTCTGTTTTTTTTAATGCCGTGTCACTGAAATGCTGCTGCTGCAATACTGTGAAAGCTTTAGGGTCACAGGGGGCAGTTATGTGTGTTTGTTATCATGGTTGTGTGTGCTGTCAAATCCAGCACAGAGGGGGGGGCCAAGGTTTTATCGAGCCACCACCTGCCATGGGTGCGGAGTGTTCTCTTGGCCAAAACACTTGCTCTCTTTTCCCTGCAGGGACTTCTGTATTTAAAAGAGAAACGACTTCGTCAAAGTGCCTTGAAGCCATGTGGCCCAGAACAGCAAGTAACTACTTTTTTTTTTTTTAAACCACTTTGACAAACAAGCTTAGCTGGCCCTGTTTCCCCACAGCATCTGAACATGTCTGTGCTGACATCAGCGTCTTCTCCAAATGTGACATTTCTGAACTCCACTTTCTCTAGAACACAACTTGGACATGATTGTGAGAAACAAAAACACGTCCCTTATCTTCCATCTTCTCCACAAGTCAAGAATCTGAGTGTAGCTGTGAATTCAGCAGTTTCTTTTATGGTTCCTTTTACTTGATGAAAGTCCATTTGAACCCTGTTTACTTAAAGATTTCTGGGCTGTATGGATTCAGCGGCCTTCAACCCACCATTTCAGTGAGATTCATCTAATTCTCTGTGTGATTTATTATCAATCTTTTGTCAAGTTGGGACCCATGAAGATGTGCCCTTATAGGTTATCATAAGTGGGATGAAGGGGCGGAAATGTGTGCGATTTTGCGTTTATGTAGGCCAGATACACAATAGCTTGGAGGGTGTTGTAGTTTGCCTGCCTTTCGAGAACCAGAAACTAATTCAATTTATGGCTGTCGGCCGTCTAGTGATTGTGTAAAAAAATCAATCAATTATTGATATACAGCAATACAAATATTTCAATATCATAGGGGGGATTCTGGGGTTGGATTTTTTCAAACTGTGGGCATCTAAAAGAAATGCCCACAGTCTTCGAATTTGAAAAAGTCTGGAAAACATCCATTGTTAGCAGCGGCCCTTTGAGCTAAACGCTGGCATCTTAATGTTCTTTATGTGAAATGTGGTGTTGGAGCTGCGGTTTTTCTCCCAGCAGACCCACATCACAGCTCAGTGTGACTCTGGTAGAATTCTCACTAAAGTGCGGTTGTCCTTTTTCAAAGTCCTGTTCGCCCAATTATTTTTGACAATTCCTCTTTGCCCATTAAGAGCAAATGTTACAAACTAGTCTGTGTGTAAAACTTGTGGATTGAGTGACGGTCTAGATCATCTTTGTGTTTCAGTGGGGACAACAGAGTGTGTTTGTATGCACAACATACTCGGGTTTGAAGCAACAAGGAGAGCTTGATGGAAGCCATGCTGTGCGTCGGGACCTGCCAACAAAGGACGAGTTGCAGTTTATATAGCTGAATCATGTCACAGATTTTCAAACACTTGAGCTCAGCGGAATGGATGTCTGCGCCATTGTTTTGTTTGTGAGGCAGCTCTGGTCTACCTCCTCTCCCTTTCATATTGTCACTGTTTCTCCCTTATACACACACACACATTTTTTTCCACCTTGTAATTTGTGATTTGTGCCTTTTTTTTCCTTCTTTTTTTTACAGGCTCGCATGTCCACTCTGCTGTCCCTGCCTCGGTGCTCCTCGTCCTCCTTCTCCTCACGCACAGCCTCTTCTCCCTCTTCCTCATGCTCTCCCTGTGAATCACGGGGCAGAAACAGAACAGGGTGTCATCTTGATGAACGAGGTCACGCCAGACCAGCGGAACCCTGTTTACGCTGAGTCACCACAAGGCCTGCTCGGCCTCTACCCCTCCATCCTCTTTCACATCCACATACAAGGTAGGCACGGTCAACTCTCACTCCCCGCACGCTTCTCACCGTCATGTAACTCTGACATCCTGGGATTCCTCACAACTCTCCTGAGAGCAGTCACTCCTTAGCAGACCACTCCTGAACTTTAATTACAACCCAATATAGACAGCTTTTTGCTTGCATGCTCAGAACATGCTGCATAGATAACTCACAAAGCTCAAAGATGATTTCCAAAATGAAAAAGTAACTAAATGAGTCACATTCAGTCACAATTTCCCAAATAGAGGGACCAAACACACATATGGGGTTATTCAGAAAAGAGATCAAAGGGAAAATGAAAATATGATAAGTCTTTCCAGCATCATAACCAGAGGACAGTCAGATCTGAAAACGAAAACATGAGAACTTTGGCTATGATGTCATCAAACACTGATATCATTTCATGCACATCTTCCAAAGCCAAGCGTGTTCCACCTAACTGCCCCTGACAGTCGAGTCTCCCGTGTCTCACAGGCATATCAGAGTCCAGCCCCCCCCCCCCCCCCCCCAGGCCTGCCCGGGCCTGGGGAGTGTTGGGGCTGTGGTGTCAGATAAGCTCAGGCTACAGACTATATTTATCCTGCCACTCATTAGAATTTAGCAGACCTCTAAAGACCTATCACACGCCGTCTCCTGCCGCCTTTTAGTGTGTCACCAACTTGTCCAGATAACATGGAGGGTGGACAGTGCAGGCGGGCGGGAGTCATACTCAGAGGATGGTTGTTGATCTGATGCTGCCTAATTTGCAATTAAGTAAAATCTAGTGAAAAATGGAACATAATGGGTTTTTGAAAAAATCTTTCAAAGTGTAAGTGTAGGCAAAGCGAGGAGGAGCTCAGAGAAACAATAGCTGGGGCAGTCCATGAAGTATTCTGTGTAGCCAGCGTACCTGTGCTATGCCTGGAGGGAGAATATGTTGGAGAGCGAGTAAAGAAAAAAAAAAAACCTGAAGCGGCTGTTAGTTTTAGCAACTGCCACAATCCCTGAATAAGGAAGACGGAGTGATACAAGGAAATGATGATTATTTAGGTCAAGAGGCTGAAAAGTTGCCATTAACATTTTCCAATCGGAGTACTTCGAAGAATTCAGCCGGTCCAGCAAGTATGACTGGATACATAGCATAGCATAGACAGTTCCATCTGTCTCTGTAGAGCTGGTGTTTTGGCGTGGTGAGGGAAACAGACTGCTGGTTGAGAACAAGAAGGGCCGATTCTTGTATCGGTATAAATTTGGAGCTGTTTAACATTCTGTGAATTTTTGTATATTCAGATTTCTCAGCAGTAGATTGCAACATTTTACTTGAAAGTTTTACTTTATCAATATCTTTAATCGGGATTTCAAATTCTTCTGTGATTGTATGTGGGAGCATTACTGCATTAATATGAGAGCACATATGAGGTTGTGGAGGTATTATTGCTGCTAACAAATAGTCTGTTTGTTTTTTTGTCAGAGACAGACGCATTTTTTTTCAAACATACAATCCTAAACCATTACAGAGAAGGAGTCATGGTATTACTTAGGCTATCGCTCAACCCAGAGGTTCAGTTTGCATTCTGTCTTGTTTTGATCAAATCTTCTGGTTTAGTTGAGGTATTC